GAAAGTTCGACTGTGACGATGCTCTGTGTTAGTACAGCCTGCAGGGCCAGATGCACTGAGCTCCAGCAACTTGCTTTCAGCACGCCGTCGTCATTTCTGTCCCATCTCCTTAAAGCCAAATTGCCAAGCCAGTGGCGATTTGTTTTTCTCCTCCTTGCTGCTCCATAGCATCTGATGGCTGCAGAATGCCTGATCGGTTTCTGTGGTCTTTCTGAAGAGGCAGATTGTGATGCTTCGTGGGGATGCTGGTCTTTGTGATGGGTGGGAAGAGCACAGTAGCTGCTTTGTGGAATAGCAGTGACAAGGAAACAAAGGCTCTGATGTAGGAAGATTGCAAGGTGTTTATAACCCTTCTACAATGCTTCTCTCAACCCTTAGTTGGTTGTTTAATCGTTTCGTTCTTCTTAGATAGCTGAAATTGGTAAGTTTTGACATCAAAATTACATTAATTCTGTGGATTGATCATCATGTCATGTTTTTCCTCCCAGACACAAACAAATACTCCGTATATTTCAATGTAGGTTTCTGGTTGGTTGGTTGTTTTTTTTTCCCTCGACTCAATTTATTAAGAGGAATTCTGTGAGTTTACATAGTTGAGGTTTCATGAAAATTACTCTTTTTTGAAAAGCGTTTCTGTTTTCTGTGTATGGAATCAGCAGTGCTATCAGCCATGATGAGTACCTGTGGCTGGTGTTGTGTTGGGAATTGAAGAGGCATGTTCACAAGCACGTATTTCTCATCTTTCCATCTCCTCCCCCTGATTCTTCACTCCATCCTGATGTGCTGCAAGTGGAAAAAAGAATTAATTTTCAATGTGACCACTGCATATGAGCCAAGGTCCCTGCACTGTGCCCATCTAAGAGAAACTTGTTCTAACACAATTTGCTGTTCAAAGTCTTCTTTCTTTGCAGCCTTAGAAACAAATACTGCAGTGGTCCAATCCAGAAATACAAGTGTAAAAATTGTTTAGCTTCTAGCCACAATCTTTCCCTGAGTGCATTACTTCCCTCCACCTTGTCCTTCCTTCCCATAGGTTTTCTACATTGCACAGCCAAAGAATTGCTTTATACAGTAAAGGAGACACACAGAGCATTTTTTTGCTTTCCCTTACATTGTATCTGTTTTGGTTATTCCATGTGCTCATTAATTTTATACATGTATGATGCACGTGTATCATAGAATGGCCTGGGTTGAAAAGGAGCACAGTGCTCATCCAGTTCCAACCCTCTGCTGTGTGCAGGTCACAACCAGCAGCCCAGGCTGCCCAGAGCCACATCCAGCCTGGCCTTGAATGCCTGCAGGGATGGGGCAGTTCCACATACAGCAGTTCCCCCTGAAGCCCATCTCACAAGCTGGCTCATCTCACGTTCCTGTTTTCCTCTCTCAAAAGCAATGTGTTACACTTCAGCTCAAGAATATTCTTGCATCTTACGTCAGGTGTAAGTCATCCAGTTTGTGTAGGCAGCGATGAGAAGCTCAGTCCAGGAAAGCATGTTTTGAAGAACTGCCTACCTGTGAGCACAGGTTATGTGTGTGCACAGGCAAAAAGATTGCCTGCTGAGTGTGGGTAGGGCTTAAAAAAACTGATTTTCATTTGCAATTTTTTGTTCTCTTTTTCTATGGCCTTAATGACTTCAGAAAATGGCTGCAGTTTTTTCACTTCCACTTTTTTCATGCTAGGCTCGATCTCCTTGTGTGCATGCTAAGGGATTCAAACACCTTGCTGGAAACAGAGGCTCGATTCTCTTCATAACTTTATAAACAGAGCCCAAAGGGAAGTGAATTATGTGGGCAAAGTTGAGATTTAATCAATCCTACCCAGGTTTGAAATACGAAGTCTGATCTTTGAGTCTGTCCCTTATGTTACAGAGCACTGAGGAGAGTTCTTTATCAATAATAGCCTTCCTTTTTTTTCTTTCTTTCTTTTATTTTTTTTTTTTTTTACTCTCTTTCTGTGATTCCATTTGATGTCTGTACAGTTCAAAAACTGACGAGTTGTAGATGTTGAGAAGCTGTGGGTGCCCCATCCCTGCAGGCACTCAGGGCCAGGTGGGATGGGGCCCTGGGCAGCCTGAGCTGGTGGGGGGCAGCCCTGCCCACGGCCGGGGTGGCACTGGGTGGGCTTTGAGCTCCTCTCCAACCTGAGCCATGCTATGATTCTCCCTCTCTCTATCCAAATATGCCATTAAAAGACGTTGTGGTGCTTTAAATGTCTGTATTTTGGTGAAAGTAATACTCCCCGGAATGCTTGCATAGCGCTGGTAAATATTAGCAAATAACTTCCCGAAATGTTTAAGTGAAAATGGGTCTAGAGAGTTCTCGCTTCACACTGCATGTTTATTTAATTTGAAGTTTGTAATTGATGCTGTTCTTGGTAACTGGGAGCAGATGTGAATGCAGATAACCAAAAGCTTTAACTCGTACTGCCTTGTGCTGTTAGTTAAGCAAACAAATTTAGGTCAGCAGAGCAAAGGAATCTGTGCAAACAACAGCCGGATGGGATGCCCTCTGGTTCAGAATAAATACACAGAAATCAACTACGGTTGAGCTGATGGCTGTGTCAGACTGTGGGGTGTTGTCCTCGTGTGCCCTGTGCCTCTCATTAACCCCAAAGCCTGCGGGTGTGCAAATATTCCTTGAGTCAGATCCTGACGCCGGCCCAGACCTCGATGCTGGACTTCCAAAGCAATCAGTCAGCAGGCTTAACGTAGCAGCATTCCAGCATGAAAAGCTTCAGTGGCTTAAACTTCAAATAATTTATTTCTAAATTACTTCTACTGTAATTTTTATTAATTCAAATAGGCTTCCAAGCTGATGTAAAACTCAGTAAACGCAAGGAACAGTTTAATGAATTGAAAATAGGATTGAGTCTTTTAAAGTAAATGTAAAAAAATATGCTCGCAGTAATTGCTTAGATGGAAATCAAGTCTTAATAGCTTTGTTAATGATTTGTAGCGAATATTGCATTTATGAGAACATATCAAGCTGATCCTTGTGCAAGAACCTTGTTTTGAATGGGTTTGATAAAATCATTCCCTGGGAGCAGTTAGTGGTGAATAGAATGGAATCATAGGATCATAGAATCCTTTGAGTTAGAAGGGACCTCTGAAGGCCATCAAGTCCGACTCCCCTGCAGTGAACAGGGACACCACATCTCCATTAGGTTGCCCGGATTTTGGCTTGCACTGCTGCTGGAATCTTGCAGCACAGCCTCTGCTGGAGCCTGGCTGTGGGCAGGTGGGGGCTGAGGATCACTTCTGGTCGTTGGTGTGCTACCCACAGCAGTCTGTGATCAGCATCAGACCCAGTTGGCTGGGTGTAAAGTCTTGTATCGCGGTACTATAAGTTCCTAAGTGAATGATGCTATTGCATCCCTTAGCTTTGCTTAGGTAGGCTGTATGTGACAAACGTTTGTGCTGCCGTGGTTGGAAGTGTTGAAGAAAATCGTAGTGGGACTGTTGGTAGCACATTTGTGTGGCTGGGTGCTCATCTTCTGACCCGAGAGGTTTGACCATGGTCAGTACAGTAGCAGCTCACTAAAAAAAGGTGGAGAGAAGGCAAGAAAAAAGACAAACCAGAGCATAACAACCATCTCTGGGTGTTTTGAGTCTCAAAGTTTCTCCCCCTTCCTTGGGCCACCTATAAGTGAAGCTGCACTGTGGTTCTCCCCATGTCCATGCAGAAGGCAGACAAGCTGTGAGCTGCCCACAGGAGGGGCTTTGGTTCCTCTTCCCCTCTCCAACAGAGCTCTGCTTTGCTGTAGCCTGACGTAGAAGGTGTGGAAAACATGAAATGCAAAATGCTTCTTTTTCTTTTTTTTTCAAATCAAGGTCCTCTGCATTCTTTATAACGCGAACCAGATTTCTCCATGTGCATCTGATGCAATGATTCAATTCATTAGAGAGAGAGTTTGGAGGTGGTGACCTGTAAATGATTACAAGACTCCCACGGCATAATTGCATCGAGTTCGTCTTTCCCACCTCTGGACATTAATAGCACCCACTGATGAGATGTAGTAAGCGAAAACCAGTTCACAAAAGCATATCTGCTGAAGTCAAAGGACAGATGCTTCTGAAAGCAGATTTTTCTTTTAAGGTAATTTAACAATATTCATCTTTTTAAGGGAGGAAGGAAATTTCTGCTGTTCCCATGCATATGGCATGGAACATCTGCTCCTGGGACTGGTATGAGGATTAAGACATGGAGAGGTGGATAAGTCCAGGGAGATTTTTCCCTGCTCATCATTTTTGGTCATTATTTAAAATAGAGGGAATGAAGTGACTTGTTTGCTCTGTAATCACAGAATCACAGAATTGTAGGGGTTGGAAGGGACCTCCAGAGATCATCGAGTCCAACCCCCTGCCAAAGCAGGTTCCCTACAGCAGGTCACACAGGTCAGCATCCAGGCAGGTCTTGAACATCTCCAGAGAAGGAGACTCCCCCACCTCCCTGGGCAGCCTGTTCCAGTGCTCCGTCACCTCACTGTACAGAAGTTCCTTCGCACATTGGTGCAGAACTTCCTATGCTGCAGTTTCCGGCCGTTTCCCCTTGTCCTGTCTCCACTCACCACTGAAAAGAGTCCGGCCTCGCCATTCTGCCCCCCACACCTCAGATACTGATAGACCTGGATCAGGTCCCCTCTCAGTCTTCTTTTCTCAAGGCTGAACAGACCCAGTTCACTCAGCCTTTCTTCATAGGAGAGATGCTCCAGGCCCTTCACCATCCTTGTGGCCCTCCGCTGGACTCTTTCCAAGAGATCTCTGTAATGAGGCCGTACGGTGGTCATTTGGCAAGCAATTAGCTGTACAGCAGTCATTTTTCCACTATTCCCATCATGGACCTCTCTTCCAATTACTCCTCTTTAATTCAATTGTTTCCAGGATGGTCAAGAGGAGGAAATCCATCCTCAAATTTCCTGGTGTTGCCATCTTGAGTATTCCAAATGAAACTTTCAGACGTCTCTTATGATTTTCATATTTCCTCTTCCTTTCCTTCCTAAGGTGATGGCCAGAACCTGGTAACAGAAGATGTGACGGTAGTGGAGGGGGACGTTGCCACCATCAGCTGTCGAGTCAAAAACAGTGATGACTCCGTGATTCAGCTCCTCAATCCCAACAGACAGACGATTTATTTCAGAGATTTCAGACGTAAGTTCCATTTTTTTATTATTTGGTAACAACTTTTCCTGCACTTTGTTCGCAGTTAGGATAAAGGATATGCTGAGATCTTCTAATTTTATGTTGGACACTTAAAGTTTAGTCAATTCTTTAGAGGGCAGATCAGACAGGCAATCATAATCTTTCTCCTTAATGGAAACCTTGATGGACCCCTTTAAAAGTCAGACCATCTTCTTTGCAATAGGAATTGATTGTAGTAATTCAGGGTGAATTGCAATTGAGTGCCAAATATTTAGCTGACACAAACAAATTGAACAGGGCAAAGCAGAGACAGTGTAATGTTCTCAGAGGTAATCTGTTTGGTGGCAAAGCTGAAATTTTCAAGACGATCTCTGCCTCATTATAGCCAAAGCAAAATCTCCCATCACCTTGGGGTCTGCTGAGCAAACCTGGCTTTGTTTCCTCTCATGACCATACCACCTCATCATAGCTGGAATGAGATGTTTGAGATGGTCTGTAGTGTCGCAACGGGGACCAGAGATACTGGGACATTGTACTGGGTGTTATAGGAACATCTGGCAGAGCACATTCTCTCCTGAAACACCTTGTGCCCTGTCTACAGGCAGGCTGTGGAGCCTGGCTTGTTTCACTTGTGCTAACATTTGTGGTCTCTGTGTTTGCTGGTAAGATTTGAAACATTCAGTTTCCAGATTTCTAAACAGCCACTACTGGTCATGGAAACAAATGTTAAATTATCCTTTCCCTGCTTCTTTTATTTTTTATGCTGCCCCTGGTTTACTCGCTGCACACAGTCTGAAATGCAGACATATAGGAGTGGATTTTCACAATAAGCAGTTTACCTCTGCATCATTAAGCTGTCTGAGCCATAGAATCATTGAGGTTGGAAAAGATCTCTCACATCCCCATCCCACCATTCCCACCACGTTCCCCAGTGCCACATCCCCATGGTTCTAGAACCCACCCAGGGATGGTGACAACCCCCCCACCCCCCTGTGCAGCCCATCCCAGTGCCCAACCACTCTTTTGGAGAATAAATTTTTCCTAACACCCAGCCTTACTCCATTGGCACCTCTGAAACTAAGCCTTGATGCTGTGCCTGGCTGATTTACTTCTGTTGATTCTTGGTAACGATTTGAGAACAGAAGCATTCGATAGATCCCAGCTGTAACTCAAGAGCAGGATTCGAGCTACAGGCAGGAGCTGCTTTAGATGCTGCTCAGATCTCTGCAGACTTTTGACTTTGTGTTGGGAAGAGAGACTTCTGCATCTGTCGCCACTGACGATCCCTTTGCTCCACAGCACTGAAGGACAGCAGGTTTCAGCTGGTGAATTTCTCCAACAGTGAGCTCCGAGTGTCGCTGACAAACGTCTCTATTTCTGATGAAGGACGGTACTTCTGCCAGCTCTACACAGATCCCCCGCAGGAAATTTACACCACCATCACAGTGCTTGGTAAGGACCCTATGGGTGCTCGTGGCGAACCTCTCTAATTGCTGATGAATTTTGTGCTTTCAGTGTTCAGACTGATCTGATCGTACACTCAGTATTTTCTTCCCAAACTCGGGGATGTGAAGGATGATATTGTAATGAAGACAGACAGCATCTTTGCCCATCCACGATATTCCTTAAGGGCAATTATTACCAACAGTGTAGCTCAGGAACCTCCTACTATATGAAGATGCATAAGTTTTGCATGTTTCTCTGTTGACTTATCCAGCGAAATGGAAAGCCAGCTAATGGGAAGCGAGTTTCCTATTAATTGTAGCAATTTTTTTTCACACTTAATGGAAAATAAGGTCTTTCGCTCCCCATCCTAAAGTTGCTCACTGCTTTAGGAACTGCTGTTGAAGAGTTGAAGTTAATCTATCTCATCCCTCCCATTCCCACCAGCCAAAATACGTTCACAGCGGGTCACACTGAGCTCTTGCCTTGCCTTCTCTCGATGCTTTGCAGGGCTGTGGTGGATGTGCAGCTGTAAGGCTGTGGTTACCAATAATAGCAGCTCACGCTATTAGCGCTCATTCTGCAGATTAGCTGCGGCTTTTAAGATTCTATTAATAGGAGAACCTGAATCACGGAGGATGATATGATGTGAGATCTCACTTGCTGATTAGTTTAAATCTTTCTCCTTTTATTTAATGAGATTTGGTTCTTACGTTTCTATATGTTGCTTAAATAATGTTTATAAGCGGTTCTACTACAGCTGTTAGGTTTATCAACAGCTTTTAACTTCTAATAGTTTCCAGTTTCCATGTGGATGAGAAGCTCTATTCCAGCTTTTCTCAGTAATCACACCTAAACAAAAATACTGTGTTGTATTTAATTTCCCTACTTAACTTGAAATAATGCTATTTACTTGATTCATCTATAAGCTGGGACTGCATGGGAGATGTAATGCAGTTGGGTTTTGGTGGTTTTCCTTTTAACACACGTTAGGCTTTAGAATTCAAGGAGAAGTCTGATTTATTTTCTTTTGTAGGTCTTTTGCTTCAGTTCTTTTTAGATGTTCAATATGACCAGTGTGTGCCTGCCTCTCCCTGGCATTCATAAAGCTGTGAGCCTTTCCTGTGAGCCTTCATCACGTGCTCAGGCAAAGCCATAGTTCACAGGGCAGGCAATAAAGACAGATGTTTATTATTAGAAGGCTGAGGAGGGAAGTGTTTATCTTAGCTAACATTTGTACTACGAGACAGGGTGTGCAAAGCCAAGGATAACATGTCTGTCTTTTCTTCCATATTATTGACTCCCCGATTAGGAGAAAAAATGGGACGGGGCTGGGGAGTAGTTATCCATGTCAGTACATCGTCGGTTCTCCTGGGGATTCATTCTCCACCAAAGATCTCTTAGTCATTACTCAGTCTCCTATATATTTTAAGTCCTATCGAAGAGTAGTTTTGCTGATCTGCTTCTAATGATACTCTCTTTGGCGAGCAGAGCAAAGTTTTGAGGCATCCTTCTTTGTAGTCAGTGTTAGAAGAGAGCTTCACACTTTCCTTTCCTTCAATAATGTTCTTCCCTCCTCTTCCCCGCAACTTTAATGCCTTCAGTGAGACTATATGTAGATTTATTCATGCTTAATTGGAACATGTGAAAATCTCCAATATGTAGTCTGTTCTGTTCTTCTTACAGAAAAGCCACAAGTGACTAATTAGTCCATTTGATCATCTGGATGATATTTATACATATTTGTTCTTCATTAGCTGAAAAACGCGTTAGTCACATTTGAACTATACAGTTGCTTAATCACATCGATCAGAGCAAAGTTGAGTTTCCTTTGGAAGTTCTCATTTTTTTTCCCTGTGAGCACAACTCCACGCCACGTGAACTCTTGATGTTCATTTTTTCTCACTCTCCAGCTACTGGTGCTTCCATGGGGAGAGACTCCTTGCTTCTGTGTCGTCACTGTTAAGCTTGTTTGTCACGACTCTGTGTTAGGCTGCAGGCTGAAGCTCTGGCCTGTTTCTGAATATTACTGCCTTACGTTTCATGCAAGACTCTTGATCTGTACAGGAAAGTGGGGAGGATGGGCAATTACCATCCTAAGGAGGCTGCCGTGCAGTGCAAGAGTTGGTCACTGGATGCACAGTTGACTGTCTCCTCTTCCTGGGGTGCTTTTGGGTTTAGTTTGGTGACTGCAGTCCCATGTGCTCCTGTGCTCGTTGCCTTTTGAGCATTTTCAATGAGCTTGATGGTCGCTGGCCTGCTTCCACTCCTTAAGGCTGAGACTTGAAACTGAACAGCAGGAGAGAAAAATTGCCTTCCGAGGTTAGAACTGCGGTAAGTAATGCGCTTCCAAATGTCAGCCTTGGTGTTTCCTCTCCCTGTCAGCACAAGTCGAGAAATGTGCGTGAAGTCAAACTGTATTTTTAAATAGCAGCGTACACAACTGAATGCTGTGGAAGATTCAGACTCTTCTGCAGAGCGGTGCCTTGGTAGGAGGCAGAACTGAAAGATAAGGATTTGATAAGTGATAATTTGTGAAACCACTCTGATTATTAGGTGGAGAGTGAAGGCGCTTACTCTGATTACTGCAAAACCATCTATCAAAGGACTTGATCGATTGAAAGATCAAGTAAATGCTGGTGGCTAGTTTGCTCCGGTAGGCTTTATGGGTTTTTCAGAAGTCTTTCTTGTCTTGTGTTAGCGATCAGAAAACGTCTTACTTGCCTTTTCATCAAGCATGTGTTGTGATTTTGGTTTTTGTTTTATTTCTCTTTCGTTTTAGTCCCACCACGCAATTTGGTCATTGATATCCAGAAAGAAATCGCTGTTGAGGGAGAAGAGATTGAGCTGAACTGCACTGCCATGGCCAGCAGACCAGCAACCACCATCAGATGGTTCAAAGGAAACAAGGAGCTGACTGGTATGTGCATCCTCCCAATCACCTTTTTTTCTTTCTTTCCTTTTCACATGCTGAAATGATTTATGTAACATTGTCTGCTTGCTCTCTGTTGTCTCCTTAAAAAAAAAGCAAGAAGAAAGCAAGCTGTTTTAAACGCCAGCTCAGGAACAAAGGAGTATGTGGGCAGACATAAATTATCCTTTAACACAGAAGGGCTGAACTTCATGTTGTCCTCTGCCTACCTGCCAGACTTAAGTATAGGGATCTAGAGCCTTTCTGTAACTGCAGGTGACCTCGAGGAGCCCTAAAGCTGCGCGGAGAATTTATTTCTCTGCCTGTTTGTATTTTTCTGCCCTGTTTTAGGTATGAGTAAGATCGTCTGTGCTTTGAGCTGTGCTTTGACTTTCAGTTCATCTTCATACCTCACTCTTTTGTTTATGGAGTATTTTTCCTGTGTTCAGTTGCATATTCATACAAGAAGTGTTTCTCCTACTCCCCTCAGCCTGGTTGCTCCTGGTATTAGCACAGTCGAGTTGCTGACACTGATTGCATGTGTCATGCTGTTAGTTTTAAGTCTGCATGTAGATGTGAGCTTGGTTGACAACACCTTTGTGCTGAGACAGTGAAGGGCTCTCTACAGAAGTCCAGACTCATTACTTTAAATGCAACCCCCCTACAAGGGCAAGATAAAATCCTCTATTTAAGTACAACACCTACAAGCATCTGAGTATGACACATGCTGAGCGTATGCTGATAAAGGTGGAATGCAAACCTGCTGCTGCTTGAAGTGGTGCCCCACTGATTTCCAGCACCTGTTGTCATCTAAACGTTACACAGATCTTCAAATGATCTCTTTCTTGGTTTTCTTTCCTATTCTGGCAGGCAGCGGTGCAATAGTTTTTGACCCTTCATGCTTGACCTGTCCAGCTTCTTGATTGAGTTTTCTTGCGTTGGCAATTGAATCCCAGCTTTGCTTTAGCTTGGAAGACTGCTGGGCTGAGTAGTAGCTTCTTGAAATACCAGTTCACCCTGTGGAGTCTTTGGATGTTTTTTAAACAGAAGTCAGGAAACTGAAATACTGGGTTAAGAATAGATTGAAGCCTTTCCTCTAGGCATAAAGGGATGTCACTTTCTGCAGCTCTCCTCATGTTTTACTCAAATGTATTTATCCTGAAATATTTTTGTGTTTGAAAGACCTTTGTTGCAAGTTACTCCTAACATTCTGACCGTGCAATCTGGGTTCTTAAATAAAAAGCCACAGATAAGAGTATTTGGAAGCACAGTGGAGGAACACTGTCAGCAAGTGATTGCAGAGGGCATGGCAAAATCCTCTCTCCTGTCTCTTCTTTCCTTTCTTGGTTCTGTGTTGTGTATCACATCACCTTTCAGGTGGTAAATCCTGCAGTTACTCTCATGGTTACTCTCTCTGGAGTACAGCTGAAATATTTCAGCCTATCAATATGACTTTTAATTAAGTTAATCTGTTTAATCACCTTTCTAGCTAATTGTTGATTCCAAAGTGGGAGGGGATTTGTAACTCCATTGATTGAAGAGTTCAGGGATTTGGGGATGGTGTAAAGGGATTGTTAATCATTGCGATAGTATATGGTAGATTTTAATCAGAAACAACTTCACGGGGAGGTGTGTTGCTCCATCCCCACATACCTACCTGCCATAAAGCCTTGTGTCTAAAGAAAGGAAACAAGTGTATGAAGGCAGCGTGTCAGCTGGGCACAGAAGTTAGGAATGTGAATGTGCATAGATGCATCTGTGTGATCGCTTTGTGCTCTTCTTTTCCATTTCCTCCCCAGGCAAGTCAGAAGTGGAGCAGTGGTCTGATATGTACACAGTGACCAGCCAGCTTTTGCTGAAAGTGGGGCGGGAGGACGATGGGGTCCCTGTCATCTGCTTGGTGGATCACCCCGCTGTCAAAGACTTGCAGACACAACGCTACCTAGAAGTCATGTGTGAGTAGCAGAACTTCTGATGGTTTTAACATATAGAATCACAGAGGAGCCTGGGTCGAAAAGGAGCACAGCGCTCATCCAGTTCCAACCCCCTGCTGTGTGCAGGGCCAACCAGCAGCCCAGGCTGCCCAGAGCCACATCCAGCCTGGCCTTGAATGCCTGCAGGGATGGGGCATCCGCAGCCTCCTTGGGCAACCTGTGCCAGTGCCTCACCACCCTCTGGGTGAAAAAATACAAAATTACTCACTGAAGAGTTCAGGAACAGCTTGCTGTATGTTTAGGTGAAGCCGTGGAGGTTGTTGATGGAACTTATGGCCTGTTTTCAAAAACTGAAACTGAGTGTTGTTTACCATTTAATTGGTTAAGTTTTGACTTTTCCCAGCCCTTTCATTTACTTCAGATTTGCACCATAAAAAGTTCCTGGCTGAGCGTTATGATCATCAGAACAGACTAAATCTCAGGGGGTTGGAGGGTTGTTGTTTTTTTTTTTAGCAAAAATCTCTTTGAAATGCTTTTCTCTGATGCCACATAAAAATAACTGGCCACCATTGTGAGTTTACTGCAAAAAAAAAGAAAGAAAAAAAGCCACTGTGCAAAAGAAGCATTGGTTTTGTGCATTGTGAACGTACAGCTGCAGCTGTTTTTCTAAAGTAGGGCAGGATGAAGTGCATGGAATCTCTAGTAGCATCCCTGACAAAGGCCGAGCCACTTTCACTCTTATGTCCCCGTCATGTTGGGTGTTAATAATGCATTGCACTTTGTTTAGGCTTTGTTCTGCTGTATGTGACGTTAACAAGGTCTCTGAGCAGTTATCTGGAAATACCTGTGGTCCCAAATGCAGACGTGCCTGACTTCCAGCTGCTCTGTGCATATGCTGCTGCTCAGAAAGAGCTCCAAAACCAAAGTGAGACTGTCCTCACTGCATAGCTTTGGTGCCTCAGAAAATCAGGGCTGCGCTGATGATTCCCAGTGCTTATTTTTGCAGGTTGACATCGACTGCAACATTGCGCTGAAAGGGAGAGAGGAGGTTGTATTAATTTTATTTCATTTGCTTCGTTATGTAGTTTCATTATGAACGTCTTGGTTACAATTCTCATATCTCTGAAACTAGCGTGAAGTTATGTTCCTGTAATGAGGAAAACAGAAATGATCAGATACTTCCTAAATTGGCAGATACTAGATTTCTTGTGACTGCGGTAATGTGTAATTCATTTATGCAAACTTAATGTCCATTAACATTTCTTGTAGAGCTCCATTAGCTTTAATAATACATTAGCACCTTTGTGAGGCTTGATCAAATACTTAACAGGGGAAAAAAAAAATCCTATCTCCCCTATTATGTTGATATTGAAATCTTCCAGAGTTTCTTCCCCTTGTTTGAAAGGGCATCAGATTTCCTTTAGGCTTCCTTTTAGAAATTGCACTGAAATCCCCAATACTTTGATGGATGGGAGAGGACCAATGTTTGTGGGGAGGACAAAAAAAACAGTAGCAAAATCTGTTCTGTTTTTCCTCTCTATCAAATGAATCCCATTTGGAGTGCTTTCATTTGCAGTCTTTACAGGGTTGCTCATACAATGAAGGCAAATCACATGTAAAATACAGTTACTTGAATGTCCTTTGAGACGCATGTGATCTTCTGATAATGTGTTGGAGGCTTCCTGCTGCAAAGATTTTACCCTTACCACTGATTTTAGTGTTCCCTGTGGTTGTTCCTGGAGCTGAGCATGTGCCTGTTGGAGTAGAACTAACACAGCACCTCCTTGCGAGGGTGAGGGGGTGGGTATGAAAAGGTCTTTTGAGTGCTCTGGTCGGAGTTAAACTCAGAGCTTGCTAACAGAAGCTAAGTGTATATTTACGGGGAATTGACCCGTGTTAGTCTAGTTAGTTTTTTAGTGGGCAGGAGCAGATGGCTTGAGAGAAGAGAACCAGAAGAGAAAAACACATAACGTCATAACCTTGCAGCTCCCAGCAATTAGTGGCTTCGGGACTTCATGTGCTGGAGGACACCCAGGCATGAGCAGTTGGTTCTTCCTGCTGGACCTGAACCTAGGGTAGAAAAGGAGTTTGGAGAGCAAACCTTTACCCCTGAGCTTTTCTGGCTTTAATCTGATGACTGCAGCTCAGTTCTGAGGGAGACTATGAGCAGGAGCAAAATCTTGTCTTCACCAACCAGCATCTCAATCAGTGCTTCTGTTGGCACGAACTCAGCCTCTTGGGGAACTTTGACAATCAGGCTTAATTGATACTTTCTCAATTGCTTTTTAGATATGGGACTTGCAATCAGAGCACCGGATCCCTTCCGATGACTGTTGATGCACTTCTACTGACCATTTTTACTTTTCAGGCACGCAAAATGCCATACCTCCAAAAGAAGCAGTGATTAGCAGTCACCCATCGGGCCAATGCGTTTGGTTTTTGCTGCTTCTCTTGCAGCCACGGAGGCATAACTCCAGATCAGTCAGCTGCGTGATGTTGGTTGAGCATCTGCTGTTCCATTCTCTCCCTCTAAGTCTTGCCTATCTGTACCAAGGGCACAACGGATCCACCTTTTTGGCACACCAGCAGGACGTAGTAAAGTATTTTCTCAGCACATGTTGTATTTCTCTGCACTTAATGTTTCCAACCTGAGCATGTTGGGGAAGGATAGGAGGATGATGGATGGAGCCTTCTTGGATAACGAGGTATTGCTGTCTGACTCAATTTCAAGGCATGGAGAGATTTTTCTTGAAGAGATGATTTAAAAGTTTAAAAACAAAATGAAACCACTGAAAACAGCAGAAATAACATGTTTTGTGGTGGGGGGGTGTTTGTCCTCATGGAAACTCCTCAAAGCGCAGCCTGCAAAAGGGAACAGGCAGTGAACTCAGTGCTGGTTGTATAATGTTGAAATGAAAAAAAAATTAGAAAAAGGTATTTTCAGAGGTCACACTCCCACACAGCTCAGCCATTTTTCAAGAGAAGGTTATTTCTGCTGTTCCTCATGTGCTCCTTGTGGGAGCAGTGCCTTTGTGATGCTTCCAAATGGAGGAAGCAGAGCAGAGATGGGAGCAGGGTGCGGGTCCGGCTCCATTGCAGCCCAGTGGGAAGGTTGCAGACCTTTCTCCCTCCAGTGTTTTTATTCTACGTCCAAAACATTACATTTTCTCTTTCTCAAGTAGTTTTCTTAAGGAGAAGCATGCCAAATATGGTTCAGGGACCTTGAGGTGTCACTGAAGATCGGGGATGCTCGTTCTTGTTTTGGTGCGTTTGGAGGCGTTGCCTGAAACAAGCATCTGTTTAATTGAAATGCTCTTCTTGGCGAAGAAAGGGGGAAAAAAAACAACAAAACTGGTGCAAAAATGGAAGTCTGTGAAGTGACCTCCTTCACTGTGTTCTGAGAGCAATTCATTTCAACATTTTCGCCTGCAATGTAGTTCAAAGGAAATTGCCAACTTCAGGGTTTCTGGGTAACTTCAGGAGCATATTTCAGGCTGGCCCTTGGCTGCACCCCAGGCTGCAGTTGCTCCAGTTGTCCTGAACCACAGAGGAGCAGATAGTGCTCATGAAGGGAGACGGGCACGGTGATTTCAGACTCTGCAGAGTTAATGTGTGGGGTTTGTGATAATGTTGAACCTTGGAGCACCCCGTGCATGTGCAGCACTAAACCTGGTGTCACCATAGCCATCATTTAACAAGGCAGTTGTTCTCTGTCCGCGGTGTGATTTGTCTTCTTGTTGTCCTCTTCTCTGCTTGCTTATTTCTAAGTGTCTCCTCCAGTGCTGAGCGTGTAGAATCTTTAAGGACAGGCGCAGTTGTTTTCTTTGTAACCTGAGAGATAGGAAGGGCTGTTTTGCTCCTCCTCTGGCAAAATAATTAAACTGTTGCATGATCTGATAAGGGTCCATAGTACATTCTGGTAATTCATTACTGTACCATAAGCTAAAGTTGAAAAAAATGAATAGCAGCTTCACCCGAATCTGAGCAGTGCATGTAGTGGGTTGTGGGGAGGGGATGTTTTGCTGTAGTCAGCAGAGTGATGACTAAGATGTATTCATGCTGAGTATTAACTTGTCCTACTCAGGGAGTAAGCTATTTATTGCATATGTAATGTGGCACAGCCTGGCCCTTTGTGAAGCTTTGAGATAAATGCTTCCGTATGAACGCAGAGTGTGTTATTAAAAAGAAATCTCTGCAAACAAGCATTCTGTAATATTTATGAAAATCTCCTGGTAATGCTTTTTAAAAGCAAACAGAGTTTGACAGATAGCGCCGTGTACTCACAGTAACAACGGAATTTCATGCTTGATTAATAGCCAGTGAGCACACAGCCCTGTGCAGTGGATGGCTGCAATATGTTGTGTGGTGCTGGCTTGGAAATATATGTTGAGTTGGGCTCAAGTTGCTTTCCTTTTGTGATTCAGATCATTCAATGAGGGGTGGAAGACCAGGGTGTTGAGCGTAATTTTAGAAAGGAAATGAAGCACCAAAACACATTAAAATATCATTAAGGAATTAAATGGAACCAGATAATCTGAAACATTTAGGTTCAGCTTTTGTGGTACTTTTCTTTATGTCGTTATGCGATACTGGAAATGAAAGTGTGGAAGTCCTGATTTGACTTCTCTTCTCTTCTCTTCTCTTCTCTTCTCTTCTCTTCTCTTCTCT